TATTAATACTTCACGTGATCGTGATTCTATCCCTCTGTTAATGCAGCCCAGCACTGTGTTGGCTTTTTTGGCAACTGCAGTACACCATCTAGTGATGGTCAATTCTTTGCTGAGAGAGGGCATTGTTCCTCTGTCTCCTAGAGATATTGCTATTGCTGATGCTTCACTTCTTCCTCAAAGAGACACGGCTAAACCTCGACATGCTGAATTGCCTTGTGGTGAGATGGGCGCCAAATACATTTAATAAAGCAAAATGCAATGAAGGATGTACTGACAAGAGCAGAATCTCAAGACTTCTTGAAAGATACAGTGCCTGTGTGAAAACAACACACAACACAAGATCAGTGTCTGAATTAGCTGTATGCCTGAACTGGGCAATGCTAAATTGAAATATCTAATCTAGGAAAATTAGTTGATCCAAGAGAAATCCAAAAAAAATGTCTAAGACAAATTAAAAACATTGGTGGTACAATGGTAGAATGCACTATTGCAGGCTAATTCTCCCCACAGCATGGAATTCGACCCTGACAGAGCTCAAGGTTGACTCAGCCTTCCATCCTTCCAAAGTCAGTAAAATGAGGAGCCAGTTTTTTGGGGGGCAAGATGCTGACTCTGTAAATGGCTTAGAGAGGGATGTAAAGCACTATGAAGCTGTATATAAGTCTAAGTGCTATCGCTATTGCTAATTTTTATATGGAGCAATCCAGCAGAGATGAAAAGGCACAAAAGGTGTGGATGCCTTGTTGATCTCAATACTCTTTTACAAAACTGTTGCCATTCTTTGTCAGATGTCCTTACCGCACCCCTGCCTCCAACAAGAAACAAGCTGTTGAGTTCACAGGTGGTTGGTTTATTCACGGAATGTTCTGGCATGCGTTATCACAGCAAACAGCAAATGAAGTTAGCACTGCTTGAACGAAGGCATAATGGCCTGTACTTCCTCCTCCCGCCTGCTATTATATTGGGGCATATGTGACACCGCGTCTGCCAAGAAGTTCCTAACCCCCGGCACGTATTTCAACCGAAAGCGAAACCATTGGAAGCATTGTGCCCATTGAACATGTTTCGGTGATAGGCACTGTAAGGCCTCAAGGTTTTTATGGTTCGTTCAGACCTTGAACGGTTCCTTGGCTCCCTCCAGAAAATGCCGCCAAGTCGACAGTGACCACCGTACGGCAAACACCTCCTTCTCCCATATTGCCCACGCCTGTTCTGTGTCCGTCAGTTTATTGGGGGTGTATGCACAGGGCTGTAGTGTTCCTTGCCCGTTCTTCTGGAGCAGAACCGCTCCAACTGCAAGATCGCTGGCATCAGCCTATACTATGAATGGCAAGTCAGGATTGGGATGTAGTAGGACCAGCTCCCATGCAAAGAGGGCCTTCAGGTCCTCAAAGGCCCTCTGGCAAGCCAAAGTCCACGTCAGTGGTTGACCGGGGCATGGTTTACCCACTGTATGTCTCGTGCGGAGCAGATCTGTTAAGGGTAGGGCCACCTTAGCGAACGAAGGGATGAACTGCCGATAGAAGTTTGTGAACCCTAGGAAGCTCTGCAACTGACGACGGGTCTGTGATGCCTGCCACTCTAGCACGGCCCTGTCTTTGTCAGGGTCCATCTCCACACCTTCCTCCGATATCCGGTACCCTAGATAGTCCAATCAGGTTTGGTGGAACTCACATTTGGACAGCTTTGCATACACGAGAACCCCATGGTATAAATGCTCATGCAACACCTCATTAATTAGCTGCACGAACACCACAGGGGCTTCCTGCAATCTGAACGGCATCACACAGAACTGTGTAGATGACATTCCTCAGAAGATCTAAAGGTGGGTGTTGGCCATCCCTTATAATGTTAGTTCCCATAACGAGAAGAAACATTTGAAACCAACATTTGAGCAGGTTGGAAGCAGAAGCTGCAGGTCCTGAAGAGATGGCAAAGGCAGACGATTTCTCTGTTTTCAGCATCCTGGTGACAGGATCCGATCAAGGGATTGGTCTGGGTCTGGTGAAGAGGTTTCTGGAGCTGCCCTCTCCACCCAAATGGGTCTTTGCTACAACCCTTGACCTGGAGGGAGAAGAAACCAAGGTAAGAATCAGCATAGGATGGCTTAGGAATAGTGGTTAAGAAATTGAACTGAGGCTGAATATCAAGCTTGCATTTTGAGTACACCAGGAATATTGGACCCACATAGCTATATGCATTGGTTGTATTTTTCCCTTTTGTAGCAAGCAATTCTAAACAAAGCACAGATTGAGTGTGTTCTATTTAAATAATATATCATTCCCTTTTTCTTTTTTTTTAAATTCTGTTCGCTTGTTGTTAACTTCTTTTTGATTTCCTGTTCTTTCTTCTACACGGCATACTTCGTTTGTGTGATTTTCAACCAAAAATATTTAAAAAAAACCAATGCCATTCAAAGTAGAGAAAAGTAGTAAGCAAAATAAATTACTGTAAATCATAATACAAGAGGTGAGAAAACATATAATTAAATCTAATCCATATCAACGTGATTTATGACCCCTCTATTATGATTTTTTATCCTTGCAATCCACCCTTAAATCTTACCCTAATTTCTCCTGCTTCGTGCATTGTATTCCTAGAAAACAAAATGTGAGTAGAACAACTTGCTTCCCGCTCATGGGCTATTTTGCTCCTAATTGTTATCTGGCAGCTATTCTAAAAGACAAGAACTCAGAATGTTCAAAGGAGATGGTGACTTCAGTGCTGAACCATTCAAGATTTACACCTACGGTACACTGAATCCCAAAAAATGAATAAAATGGCTTCTAACATTAATTAGCTCTCTTAACCTTCAGCAGTGACACTTGCTGAGCAGAGTGTAATAAAGGTTTGGATAGTGATCTCTCCACTTATAAAAAGCTTTGAATCAGCAGTCAGACGTGGAAGCTTTTTTACAGAGTCATATCTGTTCATTACGTTGAATGAACAAAAATGCCATTTTGCATTAATGTGGTTTCTTGAGGGGGTTTTTTTGTTGTTCAGTCAGGAATATTGCACCGCTGCCGTCTAATGAAGTAAAAAAATGCACATCTTTACTGGTTCCTCTTCCTTTTGAAATTGTACTCTTTGTCATCCAGCTCAAAGCATTATCTGCTTCTCGTTCATACTGTGTGAATTTTAACCCACAGAAAAATCTATGATCTTTTTTTCCCTCCAGGAGCTAAGAGAGATGGCTTGCAAATATCCGAATCTAGTGGTCTTGCAATTAGGTGAGTTTCAAAAGCCATGTGAAAAATGGGGCAAATTTGGTACTACGGGAACGTCCAGAACAACCGTTTCAAAGTTATTGTTGGAACTGACCAAAGTTGCAACATCATTGGTTGTGTTCCCATAAATCACCCCATAAATCATACTACAGGAATGCCAAGAATATCCACGGATATTCTTGGAATTAACATCCCTGGTTAGGTTCACATGAAGTGGCTGGTTGAACCCGAATCAGCTTCATAGAGACAAAAATATTTAACTTAGATACCTCCCCACATGTTAGAAGTGTTTTCTCTGGAGCATGTATTAAACATGGTAAGATATAGGAATTTCCAAGAAGATCCAATTGAAGAAAAACCATGTACCTTTGATAACTATGGATATTCCCAATCATCCAGGTCACGCTTGTCCCAAAGGTGCTTTTTCCAAAAGGGAACTGAACTTTTTTTTGATGGGTGGGGGGGATGTTCTTTGAAAACATTTCGCTTCTCATCCAGGAAGCTTCTTCAGTTCTAACTAAACCTTTGTGCAGCTGTGGTGCAACAGCTGTTGAAGACACAGCACATACATCGATTGCAAACTATATTTTGCAAAAAGGACTGTTCACCTAGATCCTTATTTAAAAATTAAAAAATATTGGGATTTCCCCCCCCCCCCACTTCTTACTTCCTGCAAAGAACAAATCTGCATCTTTCTAGCAAGTCGGCAATTTTCATCAATGCCCCCAACTTTGGAACAAACTGAGGCTGAAGGCAGGGGCAATTTATTATGAATATACTCTTGTTTTCTCTGTATTACATTTATAAGTTTTTGATACGGTCAGATAAAACTAATCAATAAAATTTAGTTGGGAGCGGTTGGGTTCACTGTGGTTTCTTTCAGGTTGAGTAGTTTGTTATCTGACCCCCTCCCAGTTAAAAATAAAGAATTCCCCCCCCCTTCCAAGAGTGAGAGAAGTCAAGTAAAACTCCACGGTTGGGTATTTGACATCATGTAACATCTGTATCACCTGCTTTGAGAAGGGAAGGTGGTCTGTATGAAACAGCGTTTTTTGCAAATTTAGCAACTCCGTTGCTTAAGAAAACTTTTCCTTAGATGTTACTAAGCTTGACAGCATCCAGGCCGCTCTGAAAGAAGTGCAGAAGTGTGTTGGAGAAGCTGGGCTGACCATCCTGTACAACAACGCTGGCACTTGGGACTTCAAAGATCTGCAAGCAGAAAATGCCAAGAATATGATGAGAACTTATTCTGTCAATACCATCGGCCCACTGCTGATGAGCCAGGTCTGTCTATGAATACAACTTCTTTCAAAGCAAGGGAGACTGTTTTAATTAAAAAAAAAGATTGCGTGGTTGAATTCAGCAGAGAGGCAGTCCTCAATTTAGGACCACAATTGAGCCCAAAATTTCTGTCGCTGAGCAAGACAGTTGTTGAGTGGTTTTTGCCTCATTTTACGACCTTTCCTGCCATAGTTGTTAAGTGAATCTCTGCCGTTGTTAAGTTACTAACACGGTTGTGAGGTGAATCTGGCTTTCCCCCATGGACTTTGCTTGTCGGCAGGTCGCAAAAGGGAATCACGTGACCGCAGGACACTGCAACCGTCATAAGTACGAGTCAGTTGCCAAGCGTATGAATTTTGATCATGTGACCACGGAGGTGCTGCAATGGTTGTAAGTGTGAAAAAGGTCCTTTTTGCAGTGCTGTTGTATCTTTGAACGGTCATTAAGTGACCTGCTGGAAGTCAAGGACTATCTGTAACTGGAGGGCAAGGAGCAAGCTGAAAACACAAGTAGTAGAAACTGTACATTAGTTTGGGAACAGGCTGAAACATTGGGGTAGCTCTTCCTTTTTTAGGGAATATTGTGACTGGAGAAAACCACCTAGACTGCTGATCCTCTTCAGTGAGACATTTTGTGGTCAAAATCACACACTATTTCTCAGAGTTGGATGATGACTGGAGAGAATCTGCACAGAAGCAGTGACATCTTGGAATGTCCCCCGGGGTGCACCAAATCGGCCAATGACTAATTCATAAATTCTCCAGAGCTCAGAGCTTTGGTGCCAGCTGAGTTTAATGGAGGCGATCCCTTTGTGCTTGAAAGAGGCACTGAAACGCCCGCTTCTTAAAGAGACCAACTGACAAATATGCCCCTGTCCTTCCATCTCTCCCTTTTCGAGAAGTTTGAAGAGAATGTGGGTTAGAAGGCAAGCACAAAGAAGTGCAGAACAGGCGGATTATCTGCATCTCAGCCAAATTTGGGATTGTTATACCCTTGGATATACAGTATGCTGTCCATAAATCCATTTTGTAGGTCAGTGATGGCGGACCTTTTAGAGACTGAGTGCCCAAAAACTGGCCCCGGCCCCGCTCCATCCCCCTGCCCCGCTCCCGCTCTGCCCTCCGTCCCCCGCCCCACCTGCCACAGGACCACTCACCGCCTCCAGGGCCCGCCGCAGATCGCCCAGGCAGCCCAGCACGCTATGGCGGCCACACCCTCTGCCCACGCCCTGCAGCACCAACTGCATGATGGGGTGTGAGGGCAGAGTCTTCTCTACGCTGCCTGGCTGCCATGTCCTTGGCTGCGCTGCTCCGTGTGGACCATGCTCAAGGGTGACTCTCCTTCAGGGGGGCTGCTGGAGAGGAGGGGGTCGCGGGGGGAAGCAAGGCTGGGGCAACGGCACGTGTGCCCACAGAGAGGGCTCCGAGTGCCACCTCTGGCACCCGTGCCATAGGTTCGCCACCACTGTTGTAGGTCATCCAGACTCTGCATCAGCTGGAGCCTTGGAGCCCTCTTGAAGGGCAGCCCACAAAAGAGTGTTAGAACAGTGTTCTTGGGAGTGGTGAGGCCTGCATGACTCTATGAAGGTCTCCTAGGAGAAGGTGCCAGAAGATTTTGCCCTGCCATTCCTCAGCTCCTTTTCATGGGCCTAACTGCAACTCCTTCTTTCTTTTCATCTTTCTACAAGGCATTTCTACCCCTGTTGAAGAAGGCAGCCCGGAGAAGCCCATGTCAAGGGCTGAGCAGCAGCAAGGCGGCCATTATCAATGCGTCCAGCATTGCAGGCTCTATTGAACTTGTGGCTGAGTGGGATGTTGTACAGGGAACTGCATACCGCTTCAGTAAGGTGCTTAATGTGTTTTCGATGCGAAGCTATCTGTACATAATTGGAATGTCCTTTTCCCCCCCTTCAAATAATGCTATTAAAGCTTGCGATAGCTAAAAATTAGTGCAAGCTAAAGAAAAGAAGAGTAAAAAAAGTGCAAAGGAAAAGAAAAATACGAAGAATAGAAAGAAAAGTTATAATAAGGTAAAAGGAAGTAAATACATAAAGAAGCGATTTCCAATCTTCAACAGAATGAGTATAAACGATTTTAGTAGCTTTTCACCAATTGATCTCTTTAACCCATGCCCCCCCCCCTCTCTTATCTATAAGGAAATCCATAAAATATTATCATTTCGGTCCTGGTGTCAGCAAAAGTCTATTAAGGTGTCACTTGTAAATCCACTTTCAACTCCATTTCTGTTCCCCTTCCATAATATCTTTTGTGCACAGTCTATCTAGCAAGGCAGGTATCACTGCTGGCATTATTAATATTTATTTTTTACTCCCTTTTTTTGAAAGCATTCCTCAACATTAGTAGCGTTAGAATATTTTTCACCATTCTGTAACTGTTGGACAATTTTATATTCTCTTCTCTTCTAACTGAAATCTTTAGTTCCCTCTAGTGTTCAATTTTGAAATATTACAGGTTGTTTTTTTTCCTAATTCAAAGCAAAAAAACATTTTCTCATGGGAAGGATCTTTTACAATTCCAAAATCTTCTGTTAAATTTATATGGACCCTTAGTCCATTTGTAGCTTTCTCAAATCAAAGTTTTAATTAACCCTTTACTGTTTATTTCATATTCCTTTCCAGCCCCGTACAACAGTTAATTTACAGTCTCTTGTCAATCACTATTTATTTTAACCCTTTCTTTCCTTTGTCTCTTCAGTACATTCCTTTCTCACAACTGGGTTTTGTTTTGTTTTGCTCATGTAGGCTGCTTTGAACATGATCACCAGGTGCCAGTCTCTTGAGTATGCAGCCTATGGGATTATGAGCGTCTCCATCCATCCTGGCTTAGTTAAAACTGCTAAGAGTCCAATTGTAAGTTTGTTCACATTGGAAAATGGGCAGCACATGTTAAGCTATCTATTTACCCATATTCAAAGACAAGTGAATTACCTACTGATGAGCCCCTGAAAGTTTTAGTATTCTGATTATTTAGTATTTTATTTAATAATGTGCTCGAGCAAAAACACAAATATAAAAGACTTCTGTAAAGGTCATGCTATGTGCAAAAAACAGTAATTCTGCAGGAAAGCATGTGCTTACAATGAAATGACAATGACTCCGCCCTTCTCATATTTAAAACTCAATGTAGGGTTGACCCATTTATTTTGGAAATTATAATGGAGGAAGGTGGGGAAAAATCAGAACAGCAAACCATAAGAGTTCCACTTTACAACTGTTACAAGAAATGTATTGACACTGCCTGCTTTTGCAAGTTAATCATGGCTCTCTTAATTTATCCAGCTAACAGCACTGATGATGTTAGCTAGTTTGGGTAATGAAGCATGTGCAACAAAAGAACCAAGCTCAGAGAGCACCAAGGACTCCTCACAAACGTAAAGATTTGCATAATGCGCTAGGTCAACACATGATCATAGGCATTGTGTTCTTATACCTTTACAAGTCAAAATGAGATTGGCCAGTTTAATATAAATCCTTCCATACTGGAGTTGGAACATTTATGGTCAAGAGATCCAATTGCATTTTGCTCCCCTGCTGAGATGAGGATTTGGGCTGGATTCTTTAGGATCGATTCTTTAAACCTTATGAAATCCTTCTTTGTGGCAGCCGGAAATCACCGTGGAAGAGAGCACACAAGGCATCGTGAATGTGCTGTCCAAGCTTTGTGAAGAGGACAACGGGACCTTTCTAGATCGGTTGGGCCATCGACTTCCGTGGTGATCTGTCTCACCATAATGTCATCAGCCCCTAATACACGGAGAGGTGATGAGGCCTCCAATAAATCACTGCAGGCATGAAAAGTTCTGGTCTTGTTCTTTACTCTCTGTCCCAAGTTTTCAAATATCTGCATATTTTACTAAAAACATTTCATAAAGAAAAAATAAGGCAGCTGGGAAGGATCAATGAGGAGTCTTTTGGATTTGAAGGCTGTAGGTCCAGGAATCAAGAACTGCACCTGGAGTTACTTCCATATTGTTTCTTTTTTTTTTTATTGAAAATTTTATAAAATTTTACAATATAAATCCCCCCTCCCCCCAAACCCAACCCTCCATCCCTCCCCCCCCCTCACTTCCCGGAGTCAATCACAGGATTAACAATAAAATAATCATAATCTAACTAACATTAATCAACTATTAATCTAACAAATCTATAACTTCCTTTAACTCTCTTTTAAAACAAATATACAATTATTAAATACCATCATATTAGCATAATTTTAAATATTAAAAATCAGAAGTTCATTCAAAAACCAGATGATATTTTTTTGTTCCATATTTCGACTCAATATAAACAATCCATCTTCTCCAAACCAATATATATCTTTCTTGTGAGTAATCCTTCACATAAGTGGAAATCTTGGCCATTTCCGCTAAGTTTGAGACTTTAACTACCCAATCTTCTATAGTAGGTAAACCTTTCATTTTCCAATATTGAGCAATTAGTAATCTTGCAGCCGTTATAAGATTTAACATTAACTCCATTTCTTTTGCATCCAAATCTTCCAAAATACTCAACAAAAATATCTGTGGTTTAAACATATTGTTTCTTTATTGTTGTTCGCCCTCCCACCGAGAGTTTTGAAGGCTGATTCCACAAATGTCACAAAACATATTTTTATGATCGTATATGCAGGCTCCATATCTCAAACCAGAAGCACGGTCTACCCATTTAAACTATTTTTTTAGAATATCATCTTTCAACATGCATGCGCACAAATAAATCCTTACACATCCATATGAAATCTTATTAAATAGATGAAAAGGGAGGAAGATGCTCTTGTTAGCTAATAGCCAGTTAAATGAAAGAGCTCTGGCAAATTCCCAAAAACTCTTTGTAGACAAACATCCGCTGACACTTTGATGCTATTCCTTTTACTCCCTAATTTGAGGTATTTGAGCCGGTGAACATCATAAATCTTAATTCTCCTATTTGGATCTGGCTTTGGACGCTTCCTGCTCAGCCAAAATGAAAACATTTTGTTTTAATTAGGTCTCTCCCTTGATTAGAAAGTATTTCTAAATATTTTATAATGTGGTGTATCTCCACCCCTCCACCCTCCCTCATTGTTTTGATTGCTTCCTCTGTTAGAGCAAGCAGTGCTGATGTAGGTGTGACACGCTTCATAACATTGCCTCTTGTGTTGAGAAGAAACATTTGAACTAAACTTCAAGCAGGTTGGAAGCAGAAGCTGCAGGTCCTGGAGAAATGGCGAAGTCAGTGGATTTCTCCGTTTTCAGCGTTCTGGTGACAGGATCCAATCGGGGGATCGGTCTGGGTCTGGTGAAGAGGTTTCTGGAGCTGCCTTGTCCACCCAAATGGGTCTTTGCTACAACTCGGGATATGGAGGCAGAGAAAAGTAAGGTAAGAATCAATTCACCTAGGATGAGTTGGTAAATAGTGGTTAAGATGTGGAACTATTGCTGGAATGACACAACTGTTCAGCTGGTTGTGAAAGTCTTGAGTGATTTGCAGCTTCTTGAATACTTATCCACCCAATTTAGACTTACAGGCTGCTTGTTATGGTCAAATGAATCTAGAACCGCTTATACATTCCAGAAGAAAGGAGGAAGAGAAATGTGATCCCGAAGGTTGAATATTTATGGTTGCTCTACCATAAAATTATAGCTTATTTGAATTATGATATTCTCCAAGCTCTCGTTGCTGGGATCTAAACAATCAGCATCGCACAGGGCGTTTCCTTCAGTGTGATGCTTAGAGGTGGCTCAAAGAGATTTTTCTGGAACCCACAAAGTGCCAACCTCATCTATTTGTTTTAAACTCTTTAATATTATACCTCTTTCATCCTTGAATGCTAGAAACCAAAACACCAACTTCAATATTATATTTTCAACCCCCAGGGATGTTCTGATCTAGAAACACCCCCCCCCCATCATAATCTTCCCTTTCACGGTAAGCAACATTAAACAATGCAAAGTGTGAGCTAGTTTTATATTTGTGTTATAAGGAATCATCTTTTCTCTCTCCCCCCTCCCCTTCTTAAAATTTTTGGTCACTTTAGACTTCGTTGTGTCTTAATTCCTTTAAAAACTATATAATCACTGTGGAATTATTTTTGTTTTTTGTTTCGTGTGATTGACATTTCCCTGTTATTAAATCAACGAGACACAATGCAGAGGAAAGCAACAAGCAAGACGTAATCAAAGAAATTAAGGAAAAATGCATGTGTTATAGGATATGTGGTATCCATGGAAACTACTTTGTTTTTCATCTCATGCACACTCTGCTTTGTGAATCACGTTCCTAAAAAAAACCAGCATGGGTGGTGGAATTTGCTTCCTACTAAAGGAATGTTTTGGGATCTGTCATCTAAATCAAGGGAAGCATTTTACAAACCCGCCAATAACACTCAGAATTTGAAATCCGTCCCAGTGCTATCAACCATGATTTATAGTTGCGTGGAAACAAAACAAATGATGCCGTGGTTACAAATATTAGCTAGCTATCATTAGCTTTCATTAACGGTAAATCTTTTGTTAATGTTTTATTTAATTATTTACATTTAAACATTTTCAACATACAAAAAAAAATATGAAATGAAATTGACTCAACCCCCTCTCACTATGTGATCAAGAGCAACATAGAAAAAAAGGCAAAATAGCTTGTAATTGCAAATATATTCTAAATTCATCTGGGATTATAAAGCTTTGAAAGAGGAAACTAATTTTTTCATATTCACCAAACCGGTCCGAGAATTATTTTCCATGGGGAAAGATAATAGGGATGTCAATGCTGCAAATACTGTATATTCTTGCTTTGACAATGTGCAGAACTGTCTGGTATATATATAGTTAAACCAGCAACTGGGAAAGAGGGAGGAGCATAAGGATAGCCCGGGAGAAAGAAACCGGAAGTAAATCACATCTTCCAAGTTGATTGGAAGATGTGAACCATGACCCTACAATAAGGGCATGGAAAATGCTTGGAATGTTATGCGTAACGGAAGAGAAGCAGACCTAAGCATTTCCACCGTGCTGTACTGACGTATTGTAACCTTAATAAATGCTTTTAGGAGAAAACATGCCTGAAAGTCCTTTTAAGTGTTTCGTTATTCAGACACATGACAAGGACGTTTTCTGATGGAGAGATTGTACAATTCTCTCTCAAAAAAAAAGATAGGTTCCACATGTCTAAAATCCAATCCTTAATTCTGATCAATTGTCCTCCGCAGCAGAGGATGTGATCAATCATTTTTCTAGTTGACAAGGTTTGCAGCAGAAGTGGAATGAGGAAAGATTCTTGAGGAGCCCAAACCAGCTGGGCTGGGTCGTAGTGACTGGGTTCCCATGTTGCATTAAGCCGTAATGAGATTTGTTAGCATGTGTTTTGTTGGTTTCATAATAATGAACACCTGCTGTTGAATGAATCTATATAAATAAAAATGTAAATGTTCGTTTGTTCAAAATCTTAAATCTCCGAAAGTTCTTCACCGATTGCTTTGAAATTTTGACACCACGTTGCATTCGAGTATGCGTGTGTTTTTATATACCTACTATTATATAGATGTCACACCTGTGACAGGTAAAAACATGCTTTTTTAAAAAAAAAACAGCACCATCTGTTGGACGTAAAAGCAACACACGCTACGATTTAACCAGACTGAGCCACAGCAACGCGTGGCCGGGTACAGCTAGTGAAAAATAAATTTCATCTCTTTCCTGGTTTTCTTTTGCTATTGTCTTCTTTGAGGACTGAAGTAATTGCCTTCTTCTTGACTATAACTGTGAGTTTATGAGGAAAAATTCCAACCTTTTTCTCTTCCAGGAGGTAAGGGAGTTGTCATGCAAGCATCCAAGTCTGGTGGTGTTGCAATTAGGTAAGTTTTGAGTGCCAATGGGGCTAATTTTGTACCTTATAAATGCCCGAAACATCTGCTAAAAGCTATTACTGGAAAATCTAGCAAGCAGTCTTACTGTTCTACTAAAGATTCTTTAAGGCTTCTTGTCTTACCAGATTTTCATGCTTTGAAGATTAGCAGAATATGTTAAGGTCATCATATCAGGGTTGCAACAATCTAGATAATGATGAAGTATCTCTGTCAATAAACAGAGAGAAAATCAGAGTATCTACTTGCAATCCTGATGGCACTGTCCTGGTTTATTTGGGCAGCAAAAGATTATATTGAGGGTAATAATAATAATAATAATAATAATAAAAATAATGATGAGGATGAGGATGATGTTGATGTTGGAAGGTACCTTGGAGGTCATCTAGTCCAATCCCCTGCTCAGGCAGGAAATCCTATGCCATTTCAGGCAAATGGCTGTCCAGTCTCTTCTTAACAACTTCCAGTGTTGGAGCATTCACAGCTTCTGGAGGCAGGTTGTTCCACTGGTGAATTGTTCTAACTGTCAGGAAGTTTCTCCTTAGTTCTAGGTTGCTTCTCTCTTTGGTTAGTTTCCATCCGTTGCTTCTTGTCCTGCCTTCAGGCGCTTTGGAGGATAGCTTGACTCTCTCTTCTTTGTGGCAGCCCCTGATTGATTTACAAACGTCTGTGAGACATTCTGTATGTCTTTATATCTTATTTTAACCAAAAGTATGGCATGAACTTAGTCAACGGGACTTTATTCTGTAGGTTTTGACTATAAAGACATAACTTGAATTTAATGTGCAAAGACAGCCTGCATTACAGCTTGTTTCTGATTCAACAAGACCCAATTTTCTGGGAATCATAACATTATTTCTAGAACATACTTTCTAGA